AACAATTGGTAGTTCCTAAACAGTTAGTTGCAACATAGATCTGAAACCATAACAATGAGCTTTTATACATTGTTACATAAAATCCAGTGGTCTATTTAAATAGATATTTTACCCATGCATTTTTTGGTAATATTGTGTATTGGTCATTTGGAAAGTAACAGTTCACTGAGGTATACTTATCTTTCAAATTTTGACACATTTCCATATACAATATAAAAAAAAACACCCACATTTGTTAATATCACCAGCAATCTCATCAGAAAAGTCTTTAAGTGTTGGGAAGCTGACAAACTCACAGTAGCAAACACAAGCTTTCCAACATAATGACCTTTACTTGAAGGCTTGAGTTTTATAATTGGTAGCAAATATTGGCAGATGTTTTCTTTGAATTGACAGGCTCACGTTGTTCAAGAAAATGTCTACTAGATACCATGTCTGAATAACAGTCAGTTGTACTTTCAAATAAAAATGCTGTTCCACAAAAAGTAGATATTTGGTCCTCAACTCAAATAATTACACCAGCACTTTTCCTCACAAAATACATTATACTCTAGTATGCAACAGAAGTGCGTTATGCATACTTCTTTAATCATCACACAGAGTATTGAAACTATGTGTACTCAAGGGTGGCGATCTAACAAAATTAATGTGTTTTTTCCTGCTCTATAAAGAACAGTCTTAAGTGAAACTTTTTTTCCTGAGAATATGTGGCAGTTAGAAATGCAGTGATTGCTATTATAGATTAGTTCCAGTGCTTTGATTTATGCTAATATGCCAGCATTTTACCCACTGTATTAATTATATTTTTTATTTTCTATATTTTATGATGTTTTGACATCTTTAGGGGGCCTTGCTGGCTGGGGAGAGACTGCCCCTCCCAAAGCTAGCTAATTCCTAGAGACAGTAAACAACTTGTTGGTGAGCCCACTTTTCATACACAAACCAACCAATCCCAAGACCATGCCCTCAACCGCCTCCTTTATCTATAAACTCTCACATGCTGAGCCAATATGTCCCCTGCCCTAAATCACCCTGGGCCAGGTACCAGACAGCCAGAGACCACCCCTGTAACCCATAGCCTGCCAACACTGTTCAGACTAGCCAGTCCTGACCTGTTTCCCCTGGCCTGCCTTGCCTTTCCCCCGAAAGCAAGTGCCAGTAAGGGCTCTGGCCTAGGCTTTCTCCTCACTCCTGTCTGCCTCTTGTTTTTCATCTCCTTCTTTAACATTTTAGTCCTCTATCTTTCTTCTTTTGTTATAGTTTCCTATTAATAGGCATTTTTAAATCTATCCTAAAAATAAAAAGGAAATTGTTGTCTAATATATATGTTCCTCTTAGTTTTCATTTTCTTTCTTTCCCTGTGCAATGCATTATACTTGCTTCCTGCACTCAGTCTCACATCCCATTGTCACTGTGAGACCTGCCATCAGATTTCAAAATCCATTTGCCTTGGACCAAAGTGATAATTTCAGTATCACCATTTCTTTCCAATAAATCTCTGTTTCATATTGTAGTGCTCAGATACCTGATATCTACCTGCCTTGATTTGAGTGAAAAATACTAACTCCTTCTCATCCTGTTTCCCTGAGTGCCTTTTCACATCTTGGTTGCTTTTCTTCCCTTTTGCCTGGGAAAATATTTGTTGAATAAATGGATTTTATTTCAGTAGGCTTTCACTGATGCCCTTAAAAAATCTTTCTTCATCCTTAGTTCTTGTCTTTATAAAAGTCCTATAAACTATAACAATCTGATCCATTCTCAAGTTGTGATTTCCTTGTTTTATGTGAATGGCTTTCAAACAGATACTTTCAGCCCATTTCTCGCACTTGAACTCTAGTAGTATATTTTAATCTGCCTACAGCAATACAGCAATCCGTTGTTTCAGCCTTTTGGTTATCTATATATCAGAAATAATAGTCAATATCTTTACCTTATTCTTATTTGTTTCTCTATCCTTTTGTTCCCATAATCAGTCCCTTGTAGTATCAGGTTGATTCCATTGTCTGTTATAGTTTCCTAATGATCTGTCCACAATTTGTGTTGTTTCACTCGGCAAAAATCTTTACATCCTCTCGTAGTTTCATTTGCCACTACATTTTCCAAAATGAAAGCCATATTATTTCAGTTGTGGACTGGTGTAATTACTATTTGGATTTGCCATGATTTTTCCCTAGTTCTTTCAGTTTATATTGTCAATATGCTAAAAAGATACCACTTATTATTTGGAATTTAAATTCCTTTTTTTTCAAGGGCTGACAGAATAACATCCCATCTGGTCACTCCAAATGTATTTCGCTCTGTGACTGAGAACCCTTGCTAATCTCTATTTGTTCTAGTCTCCCAAATGTATTCCATACAATTGATTTTATTCCTTACAACTGGACCTTTCATTAAATACAGCTGCTATATGCCCATATGGATAGCTGCAAAGTTAGCCAACTACAAAGTTAGATGGTACAGTAGTACACATAAGACCACCCTCACTTCTGACACCAACTGTAAGTTCAGGAGTCCCAAGACTGCTGTTAGGATCAATAATTTGCCAGAAGGACTCATAGAACGTACTGAAAGCTGTGATACTCGCAGTTATGGTTTGTTATAGAGGAAGAATACAGGTTAAAATCAAGCCAAGCACGTAGGGCAGAGTCCAGGAAAGTACCAAACAAGCTTCTAGCAGTCCTCTCTCTGTGGTGTCCTGGATAGCATTACTTTCCTGGCATGACAGTACATACAGAATATGGCCAACCAGGGAGACTTCACCCAAACCTAGTGTCCAGAGTTTATAATGGGGCTCTATCACATAAGCATGATTGACTGCCGACATGGCTGATCTCAGTTTCTAGCCCCTTAAGAGATCGAGCTGATACTGTGTAACCCAAAGCCCCCACCCTAAATCACATTGTTACTTTCTGGCCGGCCAAAGGCTCCCCGGCAAACAAATACACTCCTGTCAGGCGTGCCATTTCAGGGCTTAGAAATTATCTCCTAGAAACCAGGCAAATGTAAGACCTCTCATTGAGCAAGGTTATATTCTCTACCGCACAATACTACATATCCTTTAGTTACAAGATCAAGTTTCACTTCCTCCATGAAATGTTCCTTAACTACTCCAGACCATGTCAATTCCTTTTTTTCTTCATTCCCATTCTCCTTAGTGTCTGTAACATGCAAATAGACACATCCTCTGATATGCATCTAATAATTTGATACCTAATTCAACATTGTTGTATCTGAGGCTTCTTTCCCCATCTGATTAACAATTCCTCCAAAATAAGTTCCTCTCTTTTACCTTTCCTTACGTAGCTTGTAACAGAGTCTAGAAAACCTGATTGTCTATGGTACCATGAAAGGTAAACATCTTTCTCATCCATTCAGAAATCATTTAATGGTAAATTCTTTTTAGATACACATGCCAAGATCTCATCCTTTCACCTCAGATAACAATGTGTTAATATATACTCAGAAGGTTCCAAAGAAGATAACCAATAAAATATTGACTTCTAAGAGCATAAGTTTTAGTTGGGAGGGCAATATTTTCAAATTGAATATTTTACATAGAATATTCATATTAAAATAGCAAGTTGTTGAAAGATTTCTTGAAATGGATGGTCCAGACTATAAGAATATTCTAATTTCAGACAAATTAGACATTGAAATGTAGAAGGAATATGTGAAGGCTTTTGGATAAATTGGATAGTAGCATGTTGCTGAAGATGGTTGATGTTCTTAGGAAGGCAGTATAACTCCAATTACCAATACAGATTAGTTTCACATGTTCTAGAACTGCACATAAATGTAATTGTATGATATGTACTCTTTTGCATAAAGCCTCACTCTGAAAAATGTTTGCAATTCATCCCTTTTGTCATTGTGTATCAGTAGATTTTTTTCCTTTTTATTGATGAGTAGTATTCCATTGTATAAATATATGACACAATATTACCTATTTACCTTTTGATAGATAATTGAGTTGTTTCCAGTTTAGGGCTATTGAAGTCATAGGTAAGATGAATTCATCTTTAAAATTGCCCCACCAGATATGGGTGGTAGTAAGGTAACAATAGTAAGATATAGCCAAGAATTTATAAGAAAAAGAATAGTTAAATTCAATCATTGCCGTACACATACATTGAAGAATTCAGTCCGTCACAGCCTCAAATAGCAGAGTTAAGGTATGTTACTGCACTGGGAGGAAAACGAACCCATCCTTCCCTAAAACTGAAAAAGTAATTTATCAAATTGAAAGGAGAAAAAGTTAGAATTGATCAGGAGAATTTGGTTATTGACCATGTCTGGAAGAATAAATTCATGGTAGCAGCAATCAGGATACAATAGTGATTATATTCATGTTGCAAGTATGCTTTGTCCTCTGGTTTATTTTACAATTCTGAATGGAAATGTAAAAACTATCTTCCCTTTCAAGAGAAAATAAATCACAGTTATGTGGAGAATTAAGGCCTAGACTATAGACTAGTGTTTCTGTCAATACTGGGAAATGAGTGCTTGAGAAAGTTCATTTGCCATGGATGGGCTAAATGCAAGTGAGGAAGAAACAAATGAAAGCATTTTATAGCACTTATTTAGGCATGAGGGAACAAATATATAGGCTTTCATCTCCACCTGAAACAGCTTCCTCGCTTACTGTTTAGTACCCTTGATAGGCTTACTCCATTGTCTCTGAACCTGCCCATTCCAAAAATAATCCCACTTTCGTCATCTTTTTCTTACTTGTTGTCGTGTTTATTACACCTGCTCAATGTGGCTTATATTTACAACATGCCAAAGATATAAGTGTTCTTTGCTTATGCCAGTTTTTCCTCATTTTAACAGTGTAGCAGGATTTGTGTTTATGTTCTGTGTGTTTTCCCTACCAAGAGGTAATTTATTTTGGCTTTTCTGTACACCACTGTAGTGAGACAGATAGTCCCACCATGGGTTGTTTGTAAATCCATAACATATATGTGAAGACTTACATTTTTGTTAATTGTATTCTTTTCTAGAAGAAGATGGGAAAGCTGAAGATGTTTTAGTGAAGTTCAAAGAATACCAAGATAGGCATTGTAGATCAGTTGTTTTCATCAACCACAAAAGACTAATAAAGGAAAGAAGTAATATTTTGGGGAAAACTCTTACTGTAGGCAAGAACCGTATCATTTCAAAAACAACACTATGTGAATATAAACCTGATGGAAAGGTTTTGAAAAACATTTCAGAATTAGTCTACAGAAATATAAGCCCTGTAAGAGAGAAATTTGGTGAGAGTAATGGATGGGAGAAGTCACTCCTCAATGCTAAGCGTGAGAAGATTCATACTGCAGTGAATCTCTATAAACAAACAGAAAGAAGTCTGAGTGGTAAACAAGAGCTTATTCAGCATCAGAAGGTTCAAACTCCAGAGCAATCATTTGAACATAATGAATGTGAAAAGTCCTTCCTTATAAAAGGAATGTTATTTACACATACTAGAGCTCACAGAGGAGAAAGACCCTTTGAATACAATAAAGATGGAATAGCCTTCATTGAAAAGTCAAATCTCAGTGTCCATCCACAAAATCTTATGGAGAAGAAGTCCCATGCATATAGCAAATATGGGAAATTCCTCTGCAGGAAGTCCATTTTTATTATGCATCAGAAATCTCAAACAGAAGAAAAACCCTTTCAGTGTCCTTACTGTGGGAATAACTTTAGAAGGAAGTCATATCTCATTGAACATCAGCGAATTCACACAGGTGAGAAACCTTATGTTTGCAGTCAATGTGGAAAAGCTTTCCGTCAAAAGACAGCCCTCACTCTTCATGAAAAAACACATATAGAGGGGAAACCCTACATTTGTATGGATTGTGGGAAGTCCTTCCGTCAGAAAGCAACCCTCACTAGACATCACAAAACACATACAGGGGAGAAAGCCTATGAATGTACTCAATGTGGAAGTGCTTTTAGAAAGAAGTCATACCTCATTGATCATCAGAGAACTCACACAGGAGAGAAACCATATCAATGTAATGAATGTGGAAAGGCATTTATCCAGAAGACAACCCTCACTGTACATCAGAGAACTCACACAGGAGAAAAACCCTATATTTGTAATGAATGTGGGAAGTCCTTCTGTCAAAAGACAACCCTCACTCTCCATCAAAGAATTCATACAGGGGAAAAACCCTATATTTGTAATGAATGTGGGAAGTCCTTCCGCCAGAAGGCAATCCTCACTGTTCATCAGAGAATACATACAGGAGAGAAATCCAATGGATGTTCTCAGTGTGGGAAAGCCTTTAGTCGGAAATCAAACCTCATTCGCCATCAGAAAACTCACACAGGAGAGAAACCATATGAATGTAAAGAATGTGGGAAGTTCTTCAGTTGTAAGTCAAACCTCATTGTCCATCAGAAAATTCACAAGGTAGAAACCATGGGAATTCAGTAAAGGATGTGACTTTTTTTTTTGTAAAAAACTTTTAAAGTCATAGTAAACCCTGTACATGATGTTGCTTGCAAGTGTAATAATGTTCAACTGTTTAAGGTGCTCTACCGCATATTTACCTGCTGTTTGCTAGCCTATAGAACACACACACAAAAGAATTACTAGAGAAATTAAATGACAAAAGTCATTGAAAATACAAGCCCTAATTTTTTATTATTAAATTCAGCAGACGTAAACTTCCTTTATCAAGTTACTGAAAACATTTTAAATTGCCTTTCTAAAATTTTAAATTTCAGTACCTACCTTGTCGTGAACCAGTAATAAACAATTGGCCGACTGGCAGTAGTCCATGGACCACACTGATGAGAAGTGCTTTAAAACAAAGGAGGTGTGAACTGTATTTCTTATTCCAAATATGGAATAAAAATTAGTTGTTACCTCCTCAAAGTTAATCATAGTTCTGACTTCTAACATTATAAATTAGTTTTTGCATATTATAAACCCTTATATAAATTGGATTATAAATCATGTATTCTTTCATATATGGCTTGTTTCATTCATCATTATGTCTCTGAAACTCATTGTTACTGCATGTGGCAGAAGTTCATTTATTTTCATTCTATATAGAATTCCATTATATGGTTATATCACAATTTAATCCAATTTATTGTTGATGGACGTTTCATTATTTGCAGCTTAGGGTCATAATAAATAATGCTTCTGTGAACATATTTATCTTTTGCTGTACATATATTCATTTCTCTTGTGTATATACTTAGTGGAATTGCTGGGTTGTGGGGCATATGTATGTTTGCCAGCTTTGGTAGATACTACCAAATAACTCAGAACTTCACAACATGAGATAATTCACTCTGAAGGGAAACAACTGAATATTATCAATATGGTGATGGTTCAAACCAGAGAATTCATAGTAGAAAGAAACTCTATGAATGCTGTGAAAACTGGGAATTCGCATATAATACATGTATAAAGGCTTTTAGCCACAGCCCAAATCTTTATATAATACCAGACAAATGTAATAAATGTGAGATTGCCTTTAGCCACAGTAATGCGTTATTTGAAATCAAAAAGTCATACTAGGGAAGGGGAGGCACCTAGCATCTTCCTTGCTCAACATTAGAGAATTCTAACTAGAGAAAAACCCTATGAGTATAATAAGGGGGGCAGGGGATAACCTTTACCCACGGCCTATGTCTTGCTGGTCATATAAAAATGATGAATATAGAAAAGCTTATAGCCATAGCTCAAATCTTATATGACACCAGGGAATTCACATTGAATGAGAACTCTTCAAATGAAATGACTGTAATAATGACTTTAGCCATAGCTTACTCCTTGTACAACATCAAAAAACTCCAGGGCTGGCCCCGTGGCTTAGCAGTTAAGTGCATGCTCTCTGCTGCTGGCGGCCCGGGTTCGGATCCTGGGCACGCACTGACGCACCGCTTCTCCGGCCATGCTGAGGCCGCATCCCACATACAGCAACTAGAAGGATGTGCAGCTATGACATACAACTATCTACTGGGGCTTTGGGGGAAAAAAAGTAAAAAAAAAAAACAAACTCATAGTAAAGAAAGGAAGATGAAAAAGGGAACAGATGAGAGCCAGACCTGATGGTGTAGTGGTTAAAGTTCTGCACTCTAACCCCCACGGCCCGGGTTCATTTCCTGGTTGTGGAACCACACCACCTGTCAGTTGCCATGCTGTGACAGCAGCTCACATAGAGAACTAGAAGGACTTACAACTATGATATACAACCATGTACTGGGGGCTTTGGAGAGAAGGAGAAAAAAAAAAGGAAAGACTGGCAACAGATGTCAGGGTGAATCCTTCCCTGCCAAAAAAAACAAAAAAAACAAAAGCAAGGATGGGGGAACAGATGAGGCTTGGAACTCTCACTCTGGGGAAAGCTGCTTCCGTGAAAGAAGTCCAACCATACTGAGATCATAATGCTGGAGAGTCTGTGTAGGCACCCTGGTCAATAGTTCCAGATGAGCTCCCAGCCATCATCTGTATCCCAGTATCATCTACCAACTATGTGAATGAGCCATCTTGGACATTTAATCAACTCTCAGATGACTGTAGCCGACTGACATCTGACTGGAACCACGTGAGTGGCCCCAAGCAAGAACTGCTCAGCTGAGGCCTTCTCAAATACCTGACCCACAAAATGGTTACTGTTTTTAAATTAAATTTCACTGACTAAAAGAAAAGGAAAATAGGAGTCAGCCCCATGGCATAGTGGTTAAATTTGGCGCATTCTGCTTCGGGAGCCTGGGTTCATGGGTTTGGATCCCAGGAGTGGACCTACACCACTCATCTGCCATGACGTGGCGGGGAACCACTTATAAAGTAGAGGAAGGCTGGCACAGATGTTAGCTCAGGGCAAATCTTCCTCAACAAACAAAAACACAAACATATATATATATGTATATGAAATATATATATATATGAAAAGGAAAATAATCTGTTAGTATCTATTTATATTATGAAAGTAAAGGCATGAATATTTGGATTCCAGAGTCGAGCAAAAGTGTGGTGACCACTAGGTGATTATTGCATGAATGAAAACTGGGCCTGAAATACAGTTGAAGATTTGGCTGTATTTTTGGTTTACAATTACATACCTAAATAACTGCTCAATGAGTGTTCCATATACATCTCTTCTTTCTCATTTTCTGGCAGTAAATTATACTTATCAACTTGGTTAGCTTACCTATGCAAATGCAAACTTTGCAAAAATGAAAGTAACCGCAAAAGACCTGCTGTAAATAATGCAGAGGGAAGCAAGTCTGTCCTCAAAAGATCCTGTGCACAGTTATTTCCATGAGGTTCCATGAACTAAGGTGCAGAGAGAAATCAAGATATGGAATCCAATGAAGATAAGTACAGCCATGTCCTTGTAGGAGGTACTTTTGTATGGTTTGAAGAAAGTCTAAGTGAAGGTTTGCTTTCTAACAGCTGTTCACATATATGCTACTTCTCACAAAAATTAGGTCCAATAGTTTATATTTTGGTATGAAACAGGATTGGGCTATATTCAAGACTCCTGTATGAAGATTTCTTTTGAAGAAGGTGGGAATGTTCTTTTTCATTAATTTTTATGGAATTTTATTTTATGAATTGATAAATATATGAAATGAGGACTTTTCATCCAACTGATCTATTTGTCAATGACATTTGGGCAGCTCTGAAGAGTGAACATGGTTTTGGAATCCAAGTCCATTTATTCCTAAATATATACAACAGTATAGGAATTCTGTTCCTATGCAATTCTTATTTTGCATATGAATATGCAAATTCGTATTTTGTAGACCTAACTGCAAGGTCATAAGACAAAAGAGAGTTAAAATGTGCAAAGATTTCATCAGTTCAAAAGGACTAGCAAGACTCCACAGAGCATACCCATGTAATGCTTTTATTTAAAAGCAAAGGATGTGGCTCACCAAGAGAAAGAAAGGGTAAGTAAGTAAGGGAGGGTCTGAGAATCATCCAGATGCAAGCTCCCCAGTGTCCTTAATCACAAATAGACTGCATTCTGTCTTCAAATTGAACCACTGAGATCTGTGTGAATTCCTTGCAAGGGAGAAGTTCCTTGCAAGGCCTTTATGCTACTCTATCCACTGGTTACATAGTCCAGCTGGGCTATCTAATCGTTTATGTGAGTAAACAAATTGGCTCTGGGGGTCTCCAGGGGAGTTTTGGACTTTAAACAGCACCTCATGTAATCCTCTGCCCTTATCTCAATCAAGAGTCAATGCCGACATCCAAGCATCATGGAAATAATGTTAGAACTTTTCCAGTCCAGTTGTAAACCAACTGTCTCCTACAAACGTGGTTCCTACATCTCCTGTGTATTTTCTGATAATGTGTGTGTGTAAACAAGCATGTTGCCTCACTTCCTGTGTCCCCATTATCAGATTGTGCACAGTACATCTCAAACCTGAAACTTCCTTGCCTGAATCTCTTCACTCAATTTGTGGTCCAGCAACAGAGCCAGGCTTGCCATGCTCTGCTTCATAAGTAATATGCAACAGCAAAAAACACAGGCATCAACACTGGTCTCTAACATTCATCTGGGATATTCTACCATTTGAGATATTCGTCAGTTTATAATCTGGGGCTTTTCAAATCCCTAGATGTATTGTCATACCAAGCACTGATGAGGATGTGGAACTCTCATACATTGCTAATGGGAATGCAAAATGGTAACGCCATTATGGAAAACAATTTGACAATTTCTTTTTTATTTATTTATTTATTTGTTCCCCCAAAGGCCCAGTAGATAGCTGTATGTCATAGCTGCACATCCTTCTAGTTGCTATATGTGGGACGCGGCCTCAGCATGGCCGGAGAAGCAGTGCATCGGTGCGTGCCTGGGATCCGAACCCGGGCCACCAGCAGCGGAGCGCACGCACTCAACCGCTAAGCCACGGGGCCGGCCCTGACAGTTTCTTAAAAAGTTAAACATACACTTCCCATATGACCCAGCAATCCCACTTACAGATATTTCTCCTAGAGAAATGCAAATTTATGTTCACACAGAAAAATTATACACAGATGTCTATAGTATCATTATTTATAACCACTACAAGCTGGAAACAACCCAAATGTTCTTCAGTGTATAAATGGATACCCTATGGTATATCCACACAATGGAATAGTCAACAATGAAAATAATGAACTATCGATACATGCAACAATATGGATGAACTTCAATTTATATAACGTTCTGGAAAAGGTAAAAATAGAGGACAGAAAACAAATCAGTCATTGCCAGGGGTTAGGGGTGGGGGGAGTGTCTAAATAGAAAGGGGATGCATGAGGGAATTCTTTGAGGTATTGGAATTGTTTTGTATACTGTTTATGGTCATAAATACAAAAATCTATGCATATGTAAAAAGATAATAGAACTGGACACACACACAAAAATAGTGAATTAGAGTAGTGACATCAGCAAGAATAGGAGGGATAGGAGTTTCCAGCACTCGTCCTCTCATAGAAACATCAATTTGAACAACCCTCTACACATGAAAACACCTTTACAAGAGCTAGTAAATCCAAGTGAGAGATCACAGCGCTGGGGTGGAGCAGAGAAATAAAAGATGCGTTGAGGAGGGTAAAAAGGATGGTTTTACTCTACCTGCATCACTCCTTCCCCAATCCCATGCAGTGAAGCATGGAGACACATACCCTCTGCATGAGTGAAGGAGAGTGAAGTAAGCACCTAACTTTGCCATGGACCCCAGCACCAGGCTCCCCCAGTGAACCCAGGCTCTAGGTCCACCACTGTGACTCAGGATCCAGGCCTGCTCCTGTGGACCCAAACACCAGGCTCCAGGCCAGCCACCACAGACACAGGCTCCAGGCCCACCCCAGCAACATGCTGGCCCCTGAAAACCCAGGTACTAGGCTGGGACCCCAGAACCAGGCTAGCCCCCACAAGCCCAGGCTCCAGGCCCACCCCATGGATCTAGGCACATGGCCTGCCCCAATGGACCCCAGCACCAGGCTGGCTCCCATGGGTCCCATTGGGATGGGACCCAGACACCAGGCCAGCTCCAGCACCAAGGCTGGCTCCCACTGACTCAGGCTCAAGTCCTGCCACAGCAACAGGTCTGCTCCTGTGGATCCAGGATCCAGGCCCATCTTCACAGACCCAGGCTCACTGGGCTCAGCCTGGTGAGCCCCAGCATCAGGCCAGCCCCCATGGGCCCAGGCTCTAGGTCTGCTGCACAGACCCAGTGGACAGGCTCAGGCCAGTGGACCCTGGCACCAGATCCGCCAACATGGCCAACCTCCAGGCCTGCCCCTGCAGCTCCAGGCACAAGGCCCACCCAGTGGACCCAGGAGTCAGGTCCACCCACCTGCTGACTCAGGCACCAGGTTGGCCTGCCTGAGGGCTCCAGGAGCAAGCCCACCTGTGGACCCCACCTGCTGACCTCCCCAGAATCTCTGGACAGGCTAACTTGTGAAGGGCTTTCACTACTGAAGAAAAGGTGCCTCTTCTTCAAATTGCAGATACCAACACAAGGCCAAAAGG